TCATGATTGTGAGGCATTATTGGTATTATTATCCCACTTTATATCTGAGAAAACTGAAGCTTAGAGAAGTTAAATAATTTGCCTTTGGGTCAAACAAGATCCAAGGTTGAGATTTCAACCCAGGTCTGTCAGGAGCCAAAGCCCATTAATGTTATAAATCATGTGTGCTTAAAAACCAATTTTCTTCTGTGACATACTCTTGCATTGCAGGCAGATTCTTTACCATCTGATCCACCAGGGAAGCCCTTGTGGACCACGGTTTGTACAAAATGAGATTTAAGCCTGATTTTTTAATTACCAGTGGTCTGCTGTAGTAATTCTACACATTTCCACAATAAAAAAATTAAGTTCTTCATTTTAAAAAATGGGACAAGAACATGAATGGCCAGATTAAAAAAACAATTAATCAGATATTAAATTTCAGGTGTTGAAAATTAAAGAGAATTTAATTCAGTTCAAGAAGCAGTAAGCAAGTGATGTCCTGTAGGAATTCACTCAAAGACTGAGAGAGCACCGCCCCTGCTCAGAGAAGCAGAGCACCAGTGTTAGGGACACGTGTCATGTTTCAAGTCTTTTACTAAAACACAGTCTCCTGGGAGAAGTCTCCCCCATCACCCATCCAACCTGCTGACCCATCCTCTGTTACCTCCTATCACGGGGAGAAGTGTGCTTTTCCGTAAAGGGCTTAGGCTTTGCGGGTTATATGGTCTCAGTCAAAACCACTCAGCTCTGCTGTTGTAGTTTGAAAGCAGCTTTAGACCCAGTGGTAAACAAATGAACATGGCTGTGTTCCAATAAAACTTTATTTACAAACAGGCAGTTGGCCAAGTATAGCTGGCAAACTCGGTGCAGTCTGCCAACCCTACTCTAACATCTCACCCTGTTTTTTCCTTCATAGCACTTAACAAAGTGTGGCATTATTTATTTATTTGCTGTTTCCCTCCACACAAAAAATAGGAGCTCCAAGAGTGTGGGGTCCTTGTTACTCATTCACAGCAGGCTCTCTAGGGTCTATAAAAGAGCCCCTGACACCTAGGCAACTCACTCTATGTATTTGTTCATCAGCTACATGAATGAACACCATTCCACAAAAGGAGAAACACAGACTGCCAACAAAACATGAACTATATTTGGCCTTACTATTAATAAATATAAAATAATTGAAAATGTCATTTTTTACTTGTTAGACGTACAACAGTCAGAAGAAGAGAAAGATGAGAAGGGGAGGAGTGGTATAAGGGGGAGGGAGAGAGAGAGCAGAAAGAGGAAGAGAACTAGTGTGGATGGGTATGTGGGTAAACTGGGCCTCTCACTACTGCAGATAGGAGAGAAAACTGGTGGCCATCTGCAATTATACACGAAATTGTAAATGCCCATTCAAAAAGGGCAAAGGATTAAATAGACATTTCTCCAAAGATATACAAAAGGGTAATAGGCATATGAAGGATTCTCAATTAAATCAGTTTTAGAGAAATGCAGGTCAAAATCACAATGAGATACCACTTTACATACATTCATATGGCTACTTTCAAAAAAGAGAAAACATGTGTTGGTGAGGAAATGGAGATTTTCAGAACGCTTTTGCAGTATTGATGGGAATGTGAAATGGTGCAGCTCTCGGGGGTCCTTAAGAAGTTAAGCTCAGAATTACCATCTGAGCTACCAATTCCTCTCCTAGGTATTTACCTAGATACTTACACTCATGTTTATGGTAGCATCATTTACAAGAGCCAAAAACAGAACTACTTCGCATGTTCATCTATCCACAGAAGAGTGGATAAACGAATATGGCAAATGCATACAATGGAATATTATTTAGTCTTAAAAAGGAATGCAGTGCTGATACATGCTAAAGCATGGATAAACTTTGAAAACATTGTGCTAAATGAAATGTGTGCATTGGTTGCTCAGTCATGTCTGACTCTTTGTGGCCCCATGGACTATAGCCCACAAGGCTCCTGTGTCCATGGGATTCTCCAGGCAAGAATGGAGAATGGGTTGTCACTTCCTATTCCAGGGGATCTTCCCATCCTAAGGATTGAACCTGCATCTCTTATGTCTCCTGCATTGGCAGGCAGATTCTCTACCACTAGCACTACCTGGGAAGTCCAGATGAACTAAGCTAGCCACAAAAAAACAATATTGTATGATTCTATTTATATGCAATATTCAGAACAGGCAAATAGTAGAACAGAGGTTACCAGGAACTTGGGGAGGAGAGGAAATGGGGAGTTATTATTTAATGGGTACAAAGTTTCCAATTGGGATGGTGAAAAATCTGTGGAGATGAATGGAGGAGATGTTTGCACAACATTTTGAATGTAGAGGACACAAATAGATGGAGAAATATATTGTGATCATGGATTTGAAGAATCAATATTGTGAAAATGAGTATACTATCCAAAGCAATCTATAGATTCAATGCAATCTCTATCAGGCTACCAACGGTATTCTTCACAGAAATAGAACAAATAATTTCACAATTTGTATGGAAATACAAAAAACCTCGAATAGCCAAAGCAATCTTGAGAAAGAAGAATGGAACTGGAGGAATCAACCTGCCTGACTTCAGGCTCTACTACAAAGCCACAGTCATCAAGACAGTATGGTACTGGCACAAAGACAGAAA